TAATGATGGTGATGGGGTGAGGAGGAGATTATGTAGAAAAAGTAATGAATGTACAACAACATTATGTTCTTACATGAATGATATAATAGGTATACAGTAAAACAATAACACACAAAAAACAAAACCAAAAAAAACAACAACTTCTGTTTAAGTTTATCATTGGTTTGAAAAAGCAATGAAATTAGGTTGTAGTCCGTGGGATTTTTAAAATCGGCGCTTGGGACCTCTGCAACATACACCTTGTGACCTAGTGAAAACAAGTGGATATACAACATTCCAGGTATCCCCTTCTTGCTCACCATCATTCTGGAACCACATTCGCTGCCGGATTCTGATGAGCACAGACTCCAGCACCTCTCAAACTCCAGACAAAAGTGACAATTTGATCAAAGTCAATTAATCTTTGTTTATGTCTCAGGTCACCCTGATTTATGAAAGGTTTTACAAAACACCTGAGAATGGCAACCAATAAGATTCAGACACATGGCATTACTCACTACTCCTCCATGGCTAGCTGGCAACTCACGCCGTCACCGTCGCAAATAGCCATGGTCACAGCAGATACCAAACAATTGTTACCAAACCGCGGTGGATTGCCTAAAAACAGCGACAAAAACTATAATTGTAGCCCAAATATTATGACTCTTATAGCCTGCCGTTTCACACTCTTATAATAATTACTACAAAATATTATAGTCACTATATGGAATTTAAATTTAATTCTGTAGATTAATGATGTGGTTTATTAAGAGAAACAAAGACGTAATAAAACGAATAAGCTCTGAATTATCTTCCCGTATGAATAAGTGAACACTATTTTTCTTATAAAATTATTGAAGGAAATAATTTTTTACCAGCTTACCGGATGAAAACATCGCATAAAATAAATAAAGGTGTTTCTCTTATTATCAGTTTGTTTCTTGAAAATAATACCTTTTTTTTCATCAAACACTTCTGCACTAAAGTCACAAAATGTCAAAAAAGCATTAAAGTGATTGGGACCAGGTGTGACTCCCTGAAACATCTTTAGAGTAGGTTAGTATTTTTTAGTTTTCCCCAAAATAAATCCCATTAAAAAAGGGACATATAAATTCTCCTAAGTTGCTAGTTAATACGAGTCAGATTTCAGTTTTCTGTTTTGTAAAATTGCTGATTATTGGTGAAATGTCAAGGTAACCTAGCCAAACGAACTTTGGTTGATTCTGCGGTTATGAATAAACGTCTGTGAATAGGTTTAGCATTTGATCAGTGACTTAAAATTACGTGGGCAGCGTAGTGATGACTCGATAGATCCTCTCAGTCATCCCTTTTGGTTAATGGTACACAAAAATCACAATATCGAACACCAGGCCAATAAATACACTATATATTGACGTTAAAACTGAGTTCTAACTGGGATTCAGGTATGGCATTCCTTCACTTTAACAATCCCATATAGTTTCTCATTTCTCCCTACAATATACGCCACTAAACGCCAACAACAACACAGAGACCTCCGACCAGTCTCAAGGAACAATAAGATTAAGCGCCAACTCACACCAGATCAGGTGGCGGTGATGGCCGTACATCTTTATTACTTTTTAACTCTATTCATCTTTTTCTTGTTAGTAAACATCTGAAAATAATAATGAAGTGTGAACACAAATAATCAATGATTTATTATGTACGATTGAATAATATTATATTGCTAAAATAAATGCATTATAATATGAAAACGAATGAATAATGACAAAGCGACTCATCTCTAGATGATGAATGTTTGGTAAATACTACGAATAAATCTGCAAAGCGATAATTTATTATTTACAGTTACTGTGCTATTTATTATTATTGAGTTACTGTAGAGCAGCACTACGCTCTCTTACTGACCAAAAATTTTCATTTTCTAATTTAGGGATAGACTCAATCATTCTGAATGTTGATAACATATAGTATTCTTCTACATCAATATCTCACATCAGTGATATTGGAGAGGAATAAAGTAAAAAGCTTGATGCTACAGAAGCCTGTTACACAGTTGGACAAGGACCTACAGTCATGAGTGAGACTCATGACTCACGCACCCGATAGTAGGGTGTTGTCCAGTCACCATTGAGAATATTGCAGTTTTCTCGGTTTCCTCTTTTACCAAAATTGTACCAATGGGGAATCGTGGACTGCCTTCACTGGGCCTCAAGGGAAGCCGGTTAGTCATGAATGTTAAAGTTATAAAGTATAAATATATAAATAAAAATCTATCTAACCATTATTTGTTACACCGTATAACAAAGTAAAACATTGTTATATCCAATGCTCCCTCTGTTTCTCGAACATGGATTCTAGGAATTTAAAATTATTTAAAATTATGCTCCTCAAAGCTAAATTTAAAAATCAAATATAACAATAAAGTCACGTATAAAAAATAAATTGTGAGTTTGTATATTAATATCTTATTCGTAATCTTTTAAGATCTGCAAGTACTGTATATTAAGAGAGGGGGCTCCTCCTGTATAACGTGAGGGTTGATGCTGACCAGAGACACACCAGCTCCGGCCCGGCCAGCTGAGCCATGTCAAACGTCACCACTACTATCTGTACATGATCACAAACTTACGTCCAGGACAACCTACACCGTTATAGGAAGGAAGAATCAACACTTGAACTGCACTTATATCAACATACAGGTAGTGTACTTATAGCTGTTATTGTCCAGAGATGTTTGAAGTAAAGGTAGTAGGGAGCTACCAAACAGGAGATACTACTGTCAGGGAAGATTTTGGAAGCATAATGTGTTGTCTAATGGTGGACCCTGCTGCCATATGGTATCACAAAAATTGTGGCCAAGTTCCAGGTTCCTGATCTGACTCTGCCACATTTACAGGGTCTCAATTGTTTCTCTTATCCCTACTGGAACTTTGTGCTGCTGTCTTGGCCGTTGATGCTCATCGAATGATAAGGGAGGAGCTAGACTTGGAGGTCGAAGAGTCATTCTTCTGGATCGACAGCATGTTAGTTCTCCAGTATATTGCAAACACTAGTTAACGATTCCATACCTTTGTAGCCGTCGGTGGCTACTATAGAGGCTGTCGGAGGCAAGTCAATGGGGACAAGTGGGAGCGTCACTAAACCCAGTGGACGAATGCCTCACGGGGCTCTCAGTGGAGGATATGACTGACGATTATGCAATTTGGATAACGGACCAACATTCTTGTGTGGGCCGAAGAGCACTAGCCAGGAGGCGAGATTGACATTGGACCTGATTGAAGATATGGAAAGTGAAACAGAAGGCAGCTGTTTTAATAACTAGTAGTATAGCCACCGAAACCAACCGGTGCTTGACGTATTGATAAACAACATCTTCCTTGAAGAATTAGTTGTGTTTCAACCCGAGTTTTTAAACGAAATGAGTCTGAAAGGACACCAGTACAGTACAAAATCCAACAGCAGAATTATAAGTAAATTAATTCAATAAAATTTATTTATATTATTGAATTGATAACACCACACCACTGCTAAGTTCACACCCCATTCCTCAGACCTACTTTCAGTTAAAAACTCGTTGAAACACAAAGACCCAAAGATATTAAACTATCCAATTTCCATACATATTCCTCCTCGCCATTGCTGATGTAAATCAACCTCAATATTAAGCCAAGTTGTTTAACACATAAATTAACACGTGTATGTAGGATAGTGATGTCCCTCAAAGTCTCACTCACATTACTGGTAAGGATACAATTGTTTGTTTTAAGTTACAGTACAATATTTACAACTTTAAACTGTGTAGACTGTCTTTTGTTTAAACTATAACACACTACAGAATACCTTTAACTCAGAAAAATTCCCCAGCACCCAACCCCATATTTCTATTAATTTTCATAGCAGTAACTGATCAATCTCATCACTCATTTACTGGGGCCACGTTCAAGGAGCCAAATGTTGAAGTGAGGACACCTTGTATTCAAAGATCTATTATTATTTATATGTATCAAGTGCCAAAGCTATTAAGCATTGTTTTCAGTGTCCACATAAGATAAGAAACAATTTCAAACATAGTAAAGTTTCTAATTTCCTAAAAAGAAATAGTTTGATTGAATTAAATGCAGAAAAACCTAGAATTAACATTTTTTTTTCTTATGATAGTACCAATTAAAGCACCCATATATACTTGAAGCACTTTGCCATAATTTATAAATATTTTATCAGAGAAAAGTATTTCCAGTTGAGAATCAGCCAATTTTTGTTTTGTCTGGTTTAAAATTCACAGTAGCATAATCTTTAAAAATCTCCCACCACTTATGGAATTTTTGAAATAACCAAGTGTAAATGTTTATCAAAGACCCAAATGAGCTGATAAAACTTCAAACATAATGAATATTTATGCTCTTAAATATACACAGATATTTTTATTGTTAATTTTATGTTTTTTTAGTTGTCATTTTAAGGTATTCAAGTTTTTTTACATTCATAATTTTTAGTAACATAATTTAGTTTCCAAACATAATTCATCGGTTTGACACAGTGATGTTAAAGTCTCCTCTTTGTAATCACATTGTAGACCTAACAAACTGTGTGTAACATTGTCTGCAACTATAGAGCTGATGAGTTGCATTTATCCTTTTTATTAACAATGTCCAAAGATAGAAATATAACGTTATTCACCTTGCCAGACCTCTTTAATTCTTTGAGTCCTAGAGGGTTAGATCATTGTCCTCGGAGATAAATTATTATCCTCAAAGGGTTAAACCAACATAAAGAGTTAAACCATCATTGTCAAAGGATTAAACCTTACCAAAGGGTTAAACCATCGTTGTCAAAGGGTTAAATCATTGTGATGAAAGGGTTAACCAGTTTTGACTCTTCACTTTTCTCTCACCTACAGGGAGGTAGTTTATGGAGTTGACCCAGTTCATGACTTGAACATGGTCTTTTATTTTTATAGCCACTGTAGTTTGTTATTTATTTGTAATTTTTGTTATGGTTATTTATTTACTTTTGGCTGGTTCTTTACCTTATAGCAACTTTACCTTGTTGTAATGTATTTCAGACATATTCGTGTCGTGTTTGTTCATCCAGATCTTGGAATAGGTGGTGCAGAACGTCTTGTGGTAGATGCTGCCCTGGCCCTCAAGAGGAAGGGCCTATGTCCGTTTACCGCCCATCACGCCCTTCCCAACTTGGAGACTTGGACGCAAGTTAGAAGACGGCGCGTGCGATAGCTACCACGGTCAGCGTTTAAAGCCGAGGGAGGTAATGGATGATCTATGCGTCGTTATATCTGGTGCTATTCAGTGGGGTGAAGTATGATGTTGTGTTTGTAGATCAGGTGTCTGCTTGCATCCCTTTCTTGAAACTGAAAACTGGCACAAAAATCCTTTTCTGTGTCACTTCCCAGATCAACTCTTAACACAAAGAAAATCATTCCTCAAAAAGATTTATAGATATTTTTTGGACACTTTTGAGGAAAAGACAACAAACCAGGCTGACTGTGTGTTGGTCAACAGCCACTTTACTGCAAGTGTGTACAAGGAAACCTTTAAATCCATCAAAACTTCTCCCTCGGTTCTGTATCCATCGTTAGATTTTGAAAATTTTGATAAGTATGAATCATTGACTGTAAGAGATGTAGATTTAGACGTTGACAGTGACTGCATATTTCTCTCACTGAATCGTTATGAACGTAAGAAAAACATCAACTTGGCGCTTCACTCCATGAAGCTTCTTCTAGATATGGTGAATAAGGATGAAGCATCACACATTCACCTTATTGTGGCTGGTGGATATGATGACAGAGTGCAGGAAAACATTGAACATTATAGTGAGTTAGTTTCATTGGCCACAAGCTTGGGTATCTCAGATAAAGTTACCTTCCTGAAATCTCCTTCAAACAAAGTGAAAGTTGCCCTTCTTAGGTCTGCAAGATGTCTGCTGTACACACCAGATAAGGAACACTTTGGCATTGTACCAATAGAATCCATGTATGTGGGCACACCAGTAATAGCAGTCAACAGTGGAGGGCCAAGAGACTATTATTGAGTGGAGAGACGGGTTTTCTTTGTGAACAGAACCCAGAGGATTTTGCCACAGCAATGCAAAGATTTGTGAGGTGGTGGTGACAAGAAAAGCATGGGTGATGCTGGTCAAAAATGTGTAGTTAATAACTTCTCCTTCATTAAGTTTTCTGAGCATCTTAACTACATCGTTCAAGGCCTCATAGATGAGAGAAAACAGAAGTAGCTGCCCCCTGATGCATAGAACAGTTGACAATGTTGAATAATTGTTTTTAAAATTAAATGCATTCCATTGATTATACCATATAAAATTATTTTTAATGTACAGTAGTAAATTTGATATATAATGTAAAATGCCTGCAAGTTTCTAGTTTAATAATACAGTGCATTAATAACTCTGAATACTGGACTGGTGTGTGCCAGGCCTGTGTTTAGGGAGTGTTTGTTTCAAGTACACTGCCTCCCTAACTGTAGTACTGTACAGGTTTATCTCTCTAGAGTATCAAAAATACCTCTTGACTAAAAGGAAATTGAGTTAAAGTGGAGATTATAAAGATAATCCATAGAGAGAAGAAAGCAAAACATCAATCAGTTTGTGGCTTTCTTATCACACTAAACCAGAATAGGCTTCTCAAACTACTCCACAGGGAAGTAAGCAGTACAGTATTCAGAGTTTTTTTTGCAGTACAGTAGATTATGTTTGCCATAACAGGAAAGTCTTCAGTACTGAATAGAATGCTGCCATTGGATTGGTAACCACTAAGTGTGCCTTTTAGTCCAATGGGAGTTATTGTTGCTCACATTATTTTTCACTCTTACAAGTCCTTTCTCATGACAGTGCAAATGGCTGTAAACATGAGCACACAAACTCTGTCATTTACTGTTATTTGTTTTGTCCAGTTGCCTTACAGATGTATTTCTCTGGTGCCCTTTTTTAAAAAACAAAGAGATCCATCTGGTTTTATACATGTTGCTTCAAGTACCATGTATTAACTGATTAAAGCCTATAATTGTTTGGAGGTTGTATTATTTATTAAAAAGATTAGAGCTACATATGCTCTGTTTATTATAAGATAATACCATATAAAACATTTATGGACACTCTTCCCTGGGAGGGGGATAGTTTAACCATGTCAGTTTAGGCTTCACTCTGAATAATAAGTGAGAAATAGTTCTATTATTTCTCTTGTTGTACTCATATACTAAAGATACAGCTTGTATATTGTGATGTGTTGGTAACTCTGTAAGTGATCTTTATGATTTATTTACACAGCACTCAGTTCTCATGCAGCCATTGTGGGCATGATAAACTGTGTTTGTTTAGGTGTACAGTATGCAGGGAGTTTGGTCCCATTCCTCTGCAAAAATCCAAATCTCTAGAAATACTTCTCTTTTGATCAGTCTTGGTTGTATATTATGACAAATATGATAGTGTATTATGTGAGTCTCAGAACTGTGAAGTCAGACTTCTTAACTGCAACACCTTCAAAATATATTGTGTTGGTGAGTTTTTAACATAATATTGGTTAAAACTTTTATAACATTATGGTCTACCATGTTAGAAAGTGGTCATGGAGAACCCTGCTTCATGTTCTGTGCTGTAAATAATATTAATATCCTACACTGCAGACCTTACTTGCTTCTTCATGTATTCTTGAAAAATCTGACTTGCCTTTTTTTTGTATCTAAATAATTGTACTAATAAATTGTTTCAAGGAAAAATATAGTCGTGATTTTTTTGATACTGTACTCTAAATGGTTAATGAGATATTTATACATTTTAGAGCTACTAAGACTTCCTCAAGGCTTTTATGTGACTGAAGAAGTTTAAAAAGTTAGTGCTGAACTTATTTGTTTACTCTGATGATTTCAAAATATGGCATTGAACTGTATGTACAGATATAGTTTATTTTTGGAAGATGTTCTGTTTCTCCAGGCCAGCTTAATGAGTCCAGCTGCCAGTTGGCTCTCATGTGCAACACTGAATTGCAGAGAAAGTTGTTATGTGGTATTACTGTATTTATTTGTTGGATATCCTCTCTCTCTGTACAGGTATTTTTCATTTGGTATAATAGCAGTAACTTACATCCTAGGAACCAGGTTTTATTGTGATACTGATCCTACCAAGTATTGTAAGCTTTTGCCCTTTGGTTGATCTATTTTTTTTACTGTTTCGCAAATTTTTATAAGATGGTTTACATAATTTGGTCCATATTTACTTCACCTCAGTCCATTAATAGGCTACCTGGGCAGAATTAACATATAAAGATGAGTTGTAATCAGGATTATTTGTACACTGTATATGTTTTATATAAGTATGAATATTTTTTCCCAAACTTATTTATTTAGAATATATCCCAGTCTTGTCCTGGTTTAGAAATTGCACAGCTGTAAGTGTTGTTGAAATGTTTGGTTCAGGTTGTATGGGATATTTGTGAAAGTGAGGGATGTCTTGTGTGTGTACAATGCCCTTGTTTATGAAGAACCACACACCAGCTCAATATATTTACTCTCTTTATTTCTTTTTTTAGTCTTGTGTTGATAAAGACACCTCAAAGAACTGGAAAGTTATGATAAAATGAGTGATGCAAGATTAGTTTAGTAGAGAGTGACAGAAGGGTCATGATAACGAGTAAAGAATGCTTATATATACTTGTTCATAGCCTCAACTTATACACCTATGCTTATATATAATGCTTAACCTAAATAACCAACCTACATTTGTTAGTACAATACATGAATTTGCAATTATCTTATAATTTTTTTGTCTCCACAGATAGACAGTACCTGTATTCTGTAATTTTCAGACCTGATTTATACAGTACAAATATGATTTCAGTGATTTCCTGTCATGGAATTAGTAAGAGATTTATGGTAACTATCTTTAAAGCTGATGACATGATGGCCTTATACTGTACAGATATAGACTCATTCTGTGGTTCCTCAGTTGATACAGTGATGTTAGGTAGAATCACACTAGATAACACCCTTCTCACTTGTGAGGCTCAAACATAATGGTGAGAGATACTGTACATGCTTCACCGTCATACTCCATGGTTTTTAACAACATCATGTCATCTGAATAGTATAAGTTTATGGTAATTATTTTCTAAACCAATAATCTTGACTACAACACTTTTAGGAGGCAGGGAAATGGGATGAGTATACAGTACTAGGAATTGAGAGAAGATACAGTATATTGATTTTGAGTCAGTAGAAAAATTTTAGGAGAGGAAGAGATGTTAAATGATGGTGTGAATGCTGTTTACAATAGAGGAAGCAAGAAAGTATATAATTTATTGGTGTACCATCAAAATATATCCATCCATCTATTAAGATCTGTAGTTTTGAGACTTCATATAGATAGATAGATATTTATTTGCTAAACTCCTCATAGATGTTCACATTGGTTCTGCATACAATGTACATAGACAGTGCAGGTAAACAGACAATTAATTTACTTAGTGTAGATTTCCAAGCCATGGTAAACAGTAAGCCAATTCAACCAAGGACAGCTCAACAAACCCTTCATAAGCATTTGTATAGGCTGTGGGGAACCTATCACAAACAATCAAATTACTGTTCTGTAGCAGGTTTATAAATTTGGTTAAGTGTAGGGCATTGTATATGTTTAATTATAATACTGAAGCAAAATACCTAAATGTAAGCCACTTTAAAACCTAATGATGTCACTTACTTAGTTTGTTAGTTCAGAAACATTTTGGTGAGAGATGTTGTCTAGCTGGGAGGAGGGTGAGGAGTGGTCCAGTAGAAATAGTTACCATAATTACCTTTCATGGGGGTTAATCTGACCCTGTGAGGGTGTAGTTTACCCGTTGAGGATTAAATTGGGTGGAGGGTGTCCGACAGGAAACAACCTAATAAGGATATGTTCAATGGCAAGCTGCCTGTATCATGGGGGGAGAGGAAAGAGAAACTAATATTGGATAATGGGAGACTAAGTCGAAAACTGAGGGTTAATATAGGAAGAGGAGAGGGGAGATCACTGACGCAGAGGGGCAATCAAGAAGATTTTGTCAAATTTAATTTTCAGTGTATAGTATAGTACAGTATATACTCTTCAATACACCGAGTCCATTTACTATTCACACTAGCAGTCTGTGATATAGAATTCTTCTGTAATAATTTTTTATTACCACTCCTCAATAGGAGGTTTAAAGAAATCATTTTTAAAAAAAACATACCATGAGAGCGAACTTCAGTTGGAACAAATGAAAGTTAAATGGGGCCAAGTTTGGACAATAGTGTGGATAATTTAATGACTTGAATCCACGTTGGTTAGTGGTGACAAGTACAAGTGTGACCTTGTGTACTGGCACATTGTCATGCAGCAGAGCACCCTGCATCAACACCCTCAGTGTTTTTCTCAGATTGCCAGTAGGTCATCATTACATTGAATAGTGACTAGTTTCTGGCTACTGAACAGTTCCGTTTAGAAGTTCGTGATACACTGGTAGTGAAGGGCGCATAGCCTGTTGTACCCTTTCTGGACGACGGGTCACTGCGCCGAACCTACCAATACTGTACACAGTGAAAGCAGCAACGGAGCAGTCTGATTCGAACAAATACTCGTCAAAAGGAGATGGGAAGGATATTGAAATGAATATCCTGCTGACGAGAGAAGAAAACTGTAGTGATAGAGTACGGTATCCATTCGAATATAAAAATTCAATAGGAAGTGGTTTTGAATGAACACTATAAAAATTAGGAACAGAGCTCATATATCAAGAGTCTTCAATGTATTCATTAGAATTTTTCAGTATAACTTTTGCAATATATATATACTGGTATATATATATATGTATACTAAATACAATAGTGATAATTTCCGATTAAATGTTAAATAACATTTCTTATTATGTATCACATCTTCGACACACACCAACACAAGTGGGCTGTATGTGTGTGTTTTTCACCGGGTAGGTGTTATTTGCCACAGACGAGAGTGATCAGAAGCTCCAACAAGCCAACATGAATAAGAGAGACGAGAAGTTGGTGCTCAGACGTCTCATTATCACTCTCCGTGATAATGGTCTCTCCATACTGGGTATGGCACATGAAGTTGGCCTGTCCCCACAACTGTGATGAAGTGGATAAGAGGAGAGCGGTAACCTTAACTGTCTAGGCAAAGGAGCGGACCATAGCAGCATTGTTGAATGAAGGATAGAGAATGAGAGACCTGCATCATAGTCAGTGATTGTTGGTGTCATGTGATGGAGGGAGGTAGTGATTGTTGGTGTCATGTGGTGGTGACTGTTGATGTCGTAAGGGAGGGAGGTAGTGATTGTTGGTGTCATGTGAGGAGGTAGTTGTTGAAGTGTCGTGAGGGAGGTAGTGATTGTTGGTGTCATGTGAGGAGGTGATTAGTCATGTGAGGTAGTGATTATTGGTGTCATGTGAGGAGAGGTAGTGACTGTTGGTGTCATGTGAGGAGGAGGTAGTAATTGTTGGTGTCGCTGAGAGGTAGTAATTGTTGGTGTCATGTGAGGGAGGGTGGTGGTGATTGTTGGTGTCATGTGAGGGAGGGAGGCGTGATTGTTGGTGTCATG